CCCCCCCCCACGGGGCGCATGCAGACCACTCACCATGATGCAAGTGCTGGCCGTGGTGGTCTTGGTGGACGACTGGCGGACCAGGGCTTGCAGCTTCTGCAGCTGCGCCAGCAACGACCTGCAGGAGAGCCAGGGCAGTGGGTCAGTGCCCTGGGGCCCCTCCTGGGAAGGGCCGGCCTGCCGCTGGCCTCAGCATCCAGCAGTAGCCAAGCAGGGCTGCCTGAGACCCGCTTCCTAGATCCCGGCCCAGCAGCTGAGGAGCAGCCCCTGGCTGCCCTGGGCGAGACAGCCCCCACGCGGAGCACGACAGAGAGAGCCGGACTCTCCCCCTCCTCCTCCTCCTGGGCCCACTCCCTCCCTCCCTCCGTCTCACTTCCCAGTCGGTAAAATGGGAGGGGGTGTGTGGGGGGGGCCCTGCTGTCCCATGTCCTAGACAGCAAAGATTTTGATCACACAAAGGCCAGCCGCAGCTGTCGCCAGGCCAATTACTCGTTTTCTCCCTGAAACTGAACCTTTTTTTGGGGGGGGGGGGGTTTACACCAGGCGGCGGCAGCAGGGGCGTCCCCCTGATCCCCCCACCCCCACCCCCCAGCAACTCACAGGTTCTGCTTCTGCAGCAAGTGCACTTGTTTCTGGAGCTCACTGTTCTGGGCCGTGCAGGCCACCACCCTGCGGGGAGCGACACAGAAGAAGAAGAGACGTCAGGGCCGGGGTTTGCCGCAGGCGGCTGGAGGACCGAGACGAGAAAGACCTGGGCGGGGAGAGGGGCTCCCTCGCCAGCTGGGAAGCCCTCTGGGGCAAGTGGGGGGGGGGGCTGGCACTCCTCAGGAGAGCAGCGGAGGAACGGCCGGGCGGACCGGGTGGGGGGGGGGCCCCCCCCCCCGCCCCACGCTCTCCGAGGTGCACACCCGGCGTGCAGACGGGGCGCCACCTCCTGGGTGGCCACAGAAGTCCTGGGGGCCCTCCACAACGTGGGACACCCGCCCTCCACCTTCCCCACCTGCTCTCCAGGCTGTCCACGTAGACCTTCTTCCTTCGGCGACTGTCCTGAGCTGACTGCTTGTTGCGGATCTTCCGACGGACTCTCTTCAGCACCCGCTCCTCGGCCTGCAGGGCAAATCCCCCGGGGGTGAGCCCCACGCCCCTCTCTCTCTCTCTCTTCTGCCCCTCGGCTCGCATTCGCTTAGCCAGGAGTGTTGCCCGGCAGCCGCGTGGGCCAGCCCACCCAAGCGCCAGCCGCAGCTCCTGCCAGCCCACCCAAACAAAGAGGAAACACCACCCCTGGATTCAAACTGGCAGGCAACGTTCCGTGTGGGTGGTGTCAGGGGATGCGGGTTGGGACAAAACATCCCACCTTCAAGGGTAGGCTGATGGGGGGTGGGACTGAACTTGCAGAGACTGAGGGGCAAAACGATCCTGTGGTTGTCGTGGACAGCTCAAGGAAAGTGTCCGCCCAAGTGTGCTGCAGCCGTGAAAAGGGCAAACTCTGCGTTCGGGATTATTAGGAAAGGGAGTGAGAATAAAGCGGCCCATATTGGAATGCCCCTGAATAGATCTACGGTGCGGCCTCATTTGGAATATCGTGTACAGTTCTGGTCTGAAAGGACACTACAGAGCTGGGGGAAAGGGCAGAGAGGAGCAACCAAGAGGATGCGGGGTTGGGAGCCCCTCCCCTCGGCGGAAAGGCCGAAGAGTCTCTGGGACTTTGCAGTTTAGAAAAGGGATGAACAGGGGAGGGGGGGGGCACAACAGAGGTTTATAAAATTATGCATATGGGGCAGAGGGAGCGGAAAAAGAGAAATCTTCCTCCCTCTGCCAAAACACTAGGACTTGAGGACATCCAATGAAACTGTTGGGAAGCAGGTTCAGGACAGACAAAAGGAAATACTACTTTAAAAAATGATTAAAAGGTGGAATTCGCTGCTGTGATGTTGTGATGGCCACAGGAATCAAGAGCGTGAAAAGGGGATTAGATAGATTACGTCTGTCAATGGCTACTGGCCTTGAGGATTGTGGGGAGCCTCCGCATTCAGAGGCACTAAACCCTAAACCTCTGAATCCCAGAGGCAGAAGGCAGGGGAAGGCCTCAGCCTCTCTGCCCTACTGTTGGTTGGCCCTCTGGAGGAACTGGAATGGCCCCTGTGTGAGACGGGAGGCTGGCCTAGAGGGTCTGACCCAGCAGGGCTCTTCTGAGGTTCCTATCAGGGGAAGGCCTGGGCCCCTCTGCCCTTGTTGGCTGGCCCTCCGGAGGAACTGGTTGGCTCCTGTGTGAGACGGGAGGCTGGACTAGAGGGACCCTCCCTGGCCTGACCCAGCAGGGCTCTTCTGAGGTTCTTATGAAGGCCTTGGCCTCTCTGCCCTGCTGTTGGCCCTCCAGAGGAACTGGTTGGTCATTGGGTGAGACGGGAGGCTGGCCTAGAGGGACCCTCCCTGGTCTGGCCCAGCAGGGCTCTTCTGAAGTTCTTATGAAGGCCTTGGCCTCTCTGCCCTGTTGCTGGCCCTCCGGAGGAACTGGAATGGCCCCTGTGTGAGACGGGAGGCTGGCCTAGAGGGACCCTCCCTGGTCTGACCCAGCAGGGCTCTTCTGAAGTTCTTATCAGGGGAAGGCCTCAGTCTCTCTGCCCTGTTGTTGGGCCACCAGAGGAACTGGCTGGTCACTGTGTGAGATGGGATGCTGGACTAGATGGACCCTCCCTGGTCTGACCCAGCAGGGCTCTTCTTTCTTATCAGGGGAAGGCCTCAGTCTCTCTGCCCTGTTGTTGGGCCACCAGAGGAACTGGCTGGTCACTGTGTGAGATGGGATGCTGGACTAGATGGACCCTCCCTGGTCTGACCCAGCAGGGCCCTTCTCGTGTTCTTATCAGGGGAAGGCCTCAGCCTCTGCCCTGTTCCTGGCCCTCCAGAGGAACTGGCTGGCCCCTGTGTGAGA